CGAAGTGGATATCGTCCTCTTTTGGAAGACCAAACAAAGGTACATGGCGGAAAGCAGCAACAATACTACAGCGAGAATAAAAGTTACACCTCCTTTCTTTGCGTTAACATTTGGGCGGTGTTATGCAAATCTTCCCACATAGTGAGGTAGATATGTGGGGGCGTGTTAGAACGAGTCGTTTTAGGTAGGTGTGGCTGGCTTTTAACTTTTATAAAGAATATCTCTTTGGATTTGAGACTTTAGTCTTTGCAACTTTACAGATCTTCTTTATGCACCAAGAGCTTGTAACACTCCAAAGAGAAAGGAAAAATTGAAATCGCATCATATGACCCCTTTAATAAATGTTATACTTTTTTTTTTTTTTTTTGGGCAATATTGCATATGCTATTGTTTACATAGCAGGGCTCCAGACTGCGACTAAAACGGGCGCATTTGCGAGAAAAAAATATTAATTTGCGAGTGAAGTTTTTGCTGAGGTGGCCACTGGCGACTATAGAAATGTACATGTTATGATTTAAATATTTGCATGTAATGACATTTTTTATTTTTTTTTGCGAACACATATTTTATGTTTACGTAATAAAATGAGACGATGCACATCAAAGTTTTAGTGAAAAAAAAGACTTTCAAACAGTCCACATCTGCCGAACAGCAGCATTGATGGCACCTACTGAAAGCAGCTCCAGTTGAGCAGCATGAGAGAGCGGAGACGTGCGAAGTGCGTGCAGAAAAGCAGTGTCTATTTTGTGCGCAACTTGAACAAACTACAACAGGTAAAGCTGTCAGCTGTGTGGACATTAACAATATCGTTAACAATTCGTTTATAATCGATATGGCTTCTTGTGATCAAGATCTTTAGTCTATTTGCTGTGTTCTGTTAATGTGTGAGCTTTATATTATTTGTAGCGCACTTGCTGTCTAATAATCGTAATAAGCTTCGTGCTTTGTTACATTTTAATAAACAAAGTAGCTTTAAAATTCTGCCAAACTCAAACAATGAATACTGTTTTGGCGCTCTTTAATGCGGCATGAGCACTTGCTTTACCACCTCAGTTCACGTAAACCCATCATTATCTTTCTCTTTACTACGATAGTAGGCCTACAAATTAAACATGAATGGACACCAAAAGGTATTTTATAAGATAGAGTACATTTTACTGAAATGTCTCATGGAATCGCTCATTCAGTGTTTGAAACTGCGGAAAATGTGGAAAACTTGTAAATAATGCCACATAATCATTTACCTCAGAATAACCATTGCGCATCCATAAGCTCATCAGTCAGTCAGAAAAAAATAACTATAAATAGGAGCATTTTGCTTAATTTATGCCCTATATTGCATATTAATATTTTTACTTAACCTGTTGTCTACATGATAAGAAAGAATGCAAGGCGCTAAAGGTAATATTCAATACCTCCTATATAATTGCATGTTACTAACGAAGAAAAACAGACTGGATATGTGCAAAACATATGACAACATTTATAGGACGCATTGAGGAGGAGCCCAAACTACACTCAATGGCCAAGTGATGCTGAAATAATTATGGTCCACGATATTGGCACAGATTCTGAGTAATAAACAATTCTTTGTGACTATATAGTTCTCAAGTTGGAAAAGACATTTAGTTCCCAATTTAAGTGATTCTTAGTTCCCAAGACAACTACAAGATGGATAGAAATGCTGATAAAGACAAGAAAAGATGAGACATAAACACATTAATGTATGACTGAAATGTTAAATTGTAAAAAAATAATAATAATAATACACGTTTAATCTATGGCACCTTAAAAATAATAATTTGGTACCTAATTTTGTTTCTTATAGGAGCCAATGGCTCCTTAATTGAATTTTTTTGTCTGGAGCCCTGTATAGTACAACAAATGTATATAGGCCTTTAGCAATAACAATATAATTCTTTATAACTAACTCTTCTACAGCACTGCATACTCAGTTCTAGGGTGACCACCTGTCCTGCATTTTGCGGTACAGTCCTGAAACTGGAAGCTTTGTCTCATTCTTGCAATTCATAGTAGTGTCCTGCATTTCAGTTTTCTCAGTATTCTATTTTTCCCTGAAATTACAATACCACACAAAAAAAGTTATTTTGCAAACCGGGATTATTGGGGTTTAAAACTTGCAAAATTGCGTTGCAATTTTTTTCAATCTTTGTATAGACTAGTCAAGTAGCACAACTTAGTCATTGCTTAGTCAAGGAAATTAATTTTCAGTTCATTACATTTAGTAGACTGACTGTTATAACTTGAACCTCATCAAATTGTGTGCCAGTCAGACAGTCTCTCACAATTTAACATTTTAAAAAAGCTTATTGGTGTGTTTTACAGCATATTATCATCCAGTTTCACTGCAAACAGGATTTCATCTAACATCATTCAGTAGTTACATAGTCTAATAATACTAAGTTATTGTGTTCCCATGTGTCGCACAAAATCAGATCAACAGCAATAACCAGGTGGTCACCCTACTCGGTACTCATGCAAAGCTGAATTATATTTATACTTTTTTTTTTCTCCCAGTGGTTTCTTTTCAGAGTGAAGCAAACTAAACAACTTAATAAAGTTGACAAGTTGCAGGGTGCCTATTTTATTGACCGTTTTCTCTTTATTGTGACTAACTTTTGTCCCTTATAACGCAGGTGCTTTCGACCTTCTGATCTACACAGACAAAGATCTTGAGGTACCTGAGCAATGGGAGGAATCTGGGCCTCAACTAATTGACCAATCAGAAGAGGTCCGCTTGCGTTCCTTTACTACTTCTATTCATAAGGTGAACAGCATGGTGGCCTACAAGAGGACAAACTCCATTTGATTTCTTTCTTCTTCTTTTCTTTTTTTTGTGCTCTGTTCTCTTTTTTTGTTTTGTGTTCTATTCAACTTTTCAGTCTTCTGTATATATCTACATAAAGCTCATTTCTTATTTGTTGTCATTTTAAAGAATGTATTTCCCAATACAGAAAATACATTTCTTGTTTCCAAGATTGTATTGGTGATTTATGTTTATTATTTGATATTTTGCAGTAGTTATCCTCTAGATGGCGACAAAATCTAGGTTTACATTTCCTTACATTTGTGAATAGCCTGTCAACAACAAAGCCTGTCGAGAATGCATCTGGGTCTTTATTTCAACCTAAATTCAAAAGACTTTGTTTCCTTTAATATTTTGCATTAATTATTTTACTACTGTATTATTAGTACCGCATCAGTGTTTTGGCAGTATTGGTTCTACCTTTAAAAAAAATTGATTTAAAAACTATACTTATAAAATGATTCTCATTACTGTATGGAGAGTCATTGATAATTACAAATTAAAACATACATGCCACGTAATGTTTTAAAATAAACCTTGTATGAGGACAGAATTTACTCAAACCACATGCTATTGAGCTCTTCTATATTTTAGTTAGTGAAGGTTTTTTATTTTGTAAAGCAGTGTTGTATTACCTACAATGAAAAGAGTGTAGAAGTGCGTCACAAATAAAGGAGACTAGTGTCTCAATTATGATAATTTGAAACAGAATAAAGGATGTAAATGTGTTTCATCTGAAGCAGGGTGGCGCATTCTGCTTTGAACCTGTCATTCTTTTGACATCAAAGTCTTCTATTGCTGATGGCTCCGTTGAAGACACATCAGAGAAATACCTGCTGGGTTCATTAGCATGAGAAGCGGTGGAAAGGCAGTCTCCCTTTTATAGCAAGAAATGTAGTTAAGGTTCGGGTCCTGGGGCTAATAAAAGTGTGGAATTTGTAGGTCCTGTGTACCTCCACTCTGTCCTCCTCCTGTCTGGGCCTGCTATTAGTATGTGTGTGTGTGAGAGAGAGAGTGTGTGAGTGCACGCCAAGGACGATAACGATAAAGATATAGTTCTAAAAATCGTTCTCAATATTAAAGAATAGCAGAGTCCACACCACAAATATAACGATAAAGGCACAGAGAAACACATTGGAATCACTTTCAGAACGATCTTTTCCAGCTGATGAACGATAAAAACATTGACAGCCAATCAGAATCCATCCTGCTATAACGAGCTCGAGAATTTAAAGCGGCAGACAAGCGTGTGCTTACAGACGATATCGTTCGCTGGTGTGGACGCTAATATTGTTATCTTTATAGTAGGGCTGTAAATCTTTGGGTAGACAGCGAATCGATTCCATTCATAGGTTTTCGATTCGATTCAAGAACGATTTTTGAAAATTCACAACGATTCAATTCGATTCACAATTAAATTCGATTCGATTAACGATTCGATTCTGCATTCACAGGATTATTTAAATGCTTCCCCTAAATTCTTTAAATGCTTAGTCAGGGGGCAAATTACACCGCAGGCTTTATGGTTACAGAACCATCGGTTAGAGAAAAAAACACTTGTCCATTGTTAGATGCTAGTTTAATGATGCTATAGCATGACATGTCATAAAAAAGAGCTTTAAATGTATTATATAGGCTAACATTTTGTCACACCAGGGGCATAGCCACCATTTCAGAAGAGACAGAAATGTCAGATACAATAATTTTATGTATGTATTATTATCATTATTATTTTTTTTTTTACAAGGAATTCTTATCTCTTACTTTGAATTTGCTATAAGAAATCAAATACACTGCTGGACAATAATCAATCAATTATTTCAATTTTCTGCACAGAATAAGGTAAAATATGTATATATATATATATATACTTTTATAGTTTCTGTAGGCTACTGTTATAAATGATATGTCAATTAGCACTGCATCATTCATAAATTGTATTTATTTATTGTGTTTATTGTCTTAACTTCAGTTCATTCTGCTTTTTATACAGTTTAGCTGCCTGCAGATATAGCCTGACACGTCTATGAGCGCAAGATCACTTCTCTTTCAGTGCGAAAGCTTCTTTATCTCATTTTCATAAAATAAAATGCTATGGTATTTAACTTTTCCTCTCCATCAGCGAATGATTATTCGGAAAGAAAACGCGCCGAAGTCTGTTTGCTATAGCAACGAACGCTACTTTCATGCATCTGATTATCAGATAAACCTCGCGCTCTTATTTCAAGGTTGTTGTTAATGCTGTGGTTATTTTAACAGTTTCCTTCGTACATTCGGTTGAAGGACATTGTTAAAACACATTTATCATTCAATGGAACTGTGCGTATGCTTTAGACACTTACATTTTTGCTCCGTCCATGCAATAAATGCGCAGCCTTCGACTGCTCAGGTAATGTCGTCGGTATGACCGAGAGCCATTGAAAAACTACAGAAAAGTAAAACTACTTCACTTTAGCATTACTGGCCACGAGTGGGCTACTCAGGAGACGATCACACATCAGCTGCTCAAACAATGTCAGTGAGATGAACGGAGCGCGAGCGCAATCCTGTGACAGTCACAGGCGGTAAATAGTGGAGCGCGTG